ATGCAAAATACATAGAAAAAAATAAAAATGAAAGATAAAAAAGTTATAATAAAAATACAACTTAATTATTTTTTTATTTTAATTAGAAATATATCATTGCATAAAGTTATTAAATTACAAATAATAAATAATTGTAAACAATTCATGAAAATTTATCGATATCTTATAATTATGCGCATGATCAATTGATCAACTAAATTTAAATTTTTTGTATATTAAACAGTTTATAATTAAGAAGGGTATAATTTATAAATTTAAAATGTTTATATGATTACATTCTTAATAAATAACGACTCACCTGACGAACGCAACAGGCAAATATTGACATGCTCGAATTTTTATTTCGCAACAAATTGTTTAATAAATTAAACTTTTTTTCCTCTTCCTTTTAATTTTATCTTTATTATGGAGAACACAATATCAAACTTTTTTCTACATAGAATTTTGAAAGCACATGTACAATATCAAACTTTTTTCTACATAGAATTTTGAAAGTACATGTATATGAAATTAAGAGGTTATAAATGGGAAGAAAGTTACAAATCGAACTTGTTTGACGCAACTGCTTACACTATACTGATTATAAGCATCACGTCATGGGTTTTCACGCTAAAGTAGCCACGATAACAAAATACGTAATATTCTCTCGCGCTTACATGTGGTATTCCCGCACTAAACAACTGTAACAAGTCTAAGAGAGATGTGACTAGCGGTTATTCGACCACTTCTCCTTAGACACGCATGCGCACTTGTGACGCGCGGTGTACGCGCAGATCCGCGAATTTTATTATTTTACACGTTCCTTCATAAAAAAAAATGAAGAAAAAAAATACTACTTATAAAATATACTACTTATCATTGAAATATTATCAAATTTGACTTGCGTTAGCAGCTGTTTTGTTAAATCGTTATTTGCTAGCTTTGTTTGATTCTTACCGTCAATGACATCTGGTATGTTTTATTTTCAAATTCTATGGAAAAGAAGTATAGTGTTGAATGTAATTCCAAGATTAAGACAAATTGGAAAAAGAGACGTTGCAAGTTATCGCACCTGTAATCCAAAGGAATTGCTAAGAATGTCTTTCTATTTTTTTTTATATTAATTTTTTTGATTGATTAATCGGTTGTAAATTAGTTCCTCAATTATATTAAATTATAATTTATTATAATTAATACGACTATAAATTTTGCAACATTATAACTATAAACTATAAATTTTAATTATAATTTAAACAAGCTCCGTCCTAATAGAAATAATAGAAATAATAGAAATAAGAAAATATATGAAACATAATATTTTGTTAAAAGAATTATGAAAAAATTATATTTTTTACGATATCAGCTTTATAATATTGCTGTGTAAAATATGATTATAAATAATAATATATAAAGTATATAATATATAAAAATAATATATAAACAATCGGGATTTGAGCCCACGGTCCAGCGTAATTAATATCAAATAACCTATCGTAATGCGCGCAGAGAAATAAAATATAACATTGTACGTATTATAACTACATATTGATAATAATATATCAGAACAATCAAACAAATGAATGAATATATGAAATTCGAAAACAAAATTGTTTCTTTTTTTTACTTACGCTCACACATATACATATGCACACACACATATATATCGAATATATATATACGCAATTACGTGTTTTTATTTAATAGATTATTTAATACAATTTTAATTACGAATATACAATAATTCATAAAAGTAAAAATTATTCGACACGAAGACCCAGTCTGCCGATGGAAGCCATCTATTATCTATTTGTTTAAAATAAATAAGAATTACTTAAAGTTTAATTAATTTATTTTTTAGTAAGTGTTTTATGTACATACATTTGCGTAGGAAGCACATGAATATACATTTGCATTCATGTATATATATATATATATATATATGAATATTAAAATAATTCTATAGAATGTGTGTATTTTCTTACTTTCGTAAAACCAATTTTCCTGAACATTTTCTATGTTTTGTATGTTACTGCTACAGCAATCAGTTGCTAACTGAGGAATTAGGAGACACGGTAGTGTCTCGGGTATCAAGTCAACCGAGAAAGTACCGTTATTCATATTAAGAATAGAAAAACAGGTTTGCGGCTTATGGCAGTAACTTTTTACATGGAAGTAAGAGAATACTGAACTGACGAATAGCGAACTCCGATGAAAACGTTCACCATATGCACATACATACATAGATACATTTATATACATACATACACTCATACATATATTTCTGTACACACATAATACACATATGAACAAATTTTTGTGATACTCTCCTGATCGTAATAAGTGTCTAAGCCTAACTCTAAGAACTCAACGTTGCTTCTTCATGTAACCTTCTAGTCTAACAATATCCTTTTATAGGTACAGGCTATAAAAGTTTCATATAAAGCAAATATTTACACAACTTCACAGGACGCCATTTTAAGGTACCAAATGGTAAAAAAGATCTAAATTAAAAAATTTTTTCTACGTTTCTGATACGAAATTCATGTGCTAAATATGTATTAATGCATAAACTTTAATTGTAGAAAAGGATTTTCAGATCTATAAAGTTAATAAAAAATGAGAGCAATACAAAAATTATTGCATTTTGTCGGTAATACAGACAAGTTCAGCATCGCCTTAATTCATATGACTCATTTTATTTAAATCCCGAATAAGCGCGAAAGTTCACTGGAATCATCGGAAAAATAATTAACGTCCGAATATATGTATGTGTTATATTTTTGAGCAAAATACATACAAATCGAAGAAATACAAGACAATATTTAACTACAAAGGTAGTCTGAAAAGTTTTGAGCCTTAACATGAAGATGACGTTACTCGTCAAAACCATTCTAGTACTACAATAGTATATGTTTTGAAAGACTTTTGTGAAAATTTTGGACGCTCAGTTGTTGTTTGACAATCGTTTGTGTCAATCGATGTTAGTGTTTTTGTAAAAATGGAAAAAATTGAATATCGTGCCGTGATTAAATTCTTACATTTGAAAGGCAATACGTCTGCGCAAATTAAAATCGAGTTGGACGCTGTTTACGAGGACTCCGTTCCATCATTTGCCACCGTAAAAAGATGGACAGCTGAATTTAAACGTAGTCGTACCAGCTTGGCTGATGATGAGCGTTCGAGACGGTCAAAACCTGCGACCACCGCTGATAACATCGAAAATGTTCACCAAATGGTACTGGACGACCGTCGAATCAAGATTAGAGAGATAGCAGAGGCTATGAGCATATCGAAAGAACGCATTTATCATATATTGACTAAAGAATTGGATTGGGCGCAAGCTATTCGCGCGTTGGGTGTCGCGCTTGCTTTGGACCAAAACGAATTCGAATAAACATTTCCAAGGCCCTGTTGGAGCGGTTCAAGTGAAACGAGTCAGATTTTTTGCGTCGATTCATAACCGTAGATGAAATTTGGATTCACCACTACACTCCAGAGACAAAAGAACAGTCGAAATAGTGGACTGCAAAGTGTGCTGCCAAGTGTGAACCTACTCCGAAAAAGATGAAGACGGTTCCATCAGCTAGGAAGGTAATGACGATTGTCTTTTGGGATAGTCACGGAATTGTGTGTATCGACTATCTTAAAAAAGGTAAAACAATAACGGGAGCGTATTATGCATCATTACTTGATAAACTGAAGGCAGAAATTGTAAAAAAACGGCCGCATTTGAAGAAGAAGAAAGTGCTGTTCCATCAAAACAACGCACCTGCTCACATTTCGGCGGTCGCCATAGCCAAAATTTACGAACTACACTTCGAATTGGTTGACCACCCACCGTATTCATCAGATCTGGCCTCCAGAGACTTTTTCCTGTTTCCTAAGCTTGAACTTTCGCTTGGAGGACAGAGATTTTCATCGAACGAGGAGGTCATCGCATACGTAAACGCCTATTTTGCAGAACAAGACGCCAACTACTATTTGGAGGAGTTAAAGAGGTTAGAGTATCGATGGTCGAAAAGTGTATCGACTTAAAAGGAGATTATGTTGAAAAATAAAACTATATTTGACCGAAAAAATACTTGTTTCTATGTTAGACTCAAAACTTTTCAGACTATCCTCATATGTGATATTAACTAATATAGAATGGAAAGTGCGTCACGGCGAGGCCCGACCACGAATCAGTCGTGAAAACTCATAATTATTTTGCGAAAAAATACCACCTCAGCCAGGAATCGAACCTGGATCTTCTGCTTACCGGGCAGGCATCTTATCCTTTCGACCGAGGTGAT